ATATATATATATATATATATATGTATGTAGGTATGTATAATTTAATGCTATTATAAACTATAATGAATAAGTAAAATATCTGCAAACAACTGATATTTATGTTATATTAAGGTATAGGTATATAGCTACATTGTTTTGTTTTGAGCAGTGTTCAGCTATTTTGAGGAATTTAATTTATTTAATTGATCGGTTTTTGGTTCTATAAAATTTAATCAATAATATTTTTAGTACTCGTATTTTAAAATCGAAAATTATCTTATGTTTCGATAAGAATATTTTAWAGGGTTTAATAATTTAAATGTTAATAATTTATACATAAATGTATTATATCATTGAAATATTTATCTTTTTATTTTAATAGTTACTTAATTTCATGTAGGTATATACAATTTTAGTACTTTTACGGCGATCCGTTTTTTTGTAAATAGGAACATATTCTAACCATATTTTTTCTATATTCTATTATTTTAAAAGGATTTTTGTAGATAGATATCTACATTACAATTAATCACGGACGTTTTCTCCATTACTGTTTTTGGTGCAGTGGGACATATTACTCTCAATATATTTTTAATGTGGACATCCCCCCCATTCTTTTTTATTGTTTACTATTTTATGGTACTATGTTATTATTTTATTTTATTTTTTTGTACATATTATTGAAATAAATCTACAATCTATACATATTTTTTGAACAATGAGTAGGTTTGATAAGTGGCAAATAAAATTTAACATGAATCATGAGATTAGAGAGGATACCCAGTGGTAACATCCTATAATTTTATTAATATTAAATTACCTAATATTTTTTTTTTGCCTACATTGTCTAATATTTCCAAATATTTTCATATATTTAATAAATGAAAGATGTRTATTTTTGAAACTACATAAACAATAAAAAATAACAATATTTAAAAGATGGTTAATATAAAATATAATATCAGAAATTTATATCTGAAATAAACAACCACACATGTCTCATTTGGCACCCCTCACACATTGGGACACGCGAAAACGAGAAAGCAGACACATCAGCCTATGAAGTCATTTCATTTCCACTATCWATTCATATCATATCATCTTCCTCTTTTGAAACTTTCGGCATAATCYATCGGAAAATAATGGAAGAATGATAAATTTTTGAGAAAATTTACCTCTCACCAACAAATTGAGAAATATAAAATAATTCGTTTAGAAATTAAACTACCCTCCAACACAAATTAAAGGAAGTAACCGTTACTCGAGCCAAAATAGGCCATTCTCGCCTAACTCATGTCCATATCATAAAAAAAAACCAGCATCAATACGCGATTCTTGCAACGAAACATTAAAAATTGAGCACATTGTCATCATCTGCCCCAAATACATCGAAGCAAGCAAGATACTTAAAATCCTGTTTCACTCCACCAAGCCTTCAAAGATGAAAGCACAGCTATGCAATCAATACATTTTTTCTTAATATAAACTATCCATTGTAAATAATAATAATAATAATAATAATAATAATGTTGTAAAATTCATACCAAAATGTAATGTATGTATATTCTTTTTCTYGATTAACTTTTGATCAAATATAGGCTAAAAACCTTTGTTGTCGAAGCCTTAATAAACTTTAATATATATATAATAATACTAGTATACTGTGTTAGCTAATGACAAATACTTTGATTATTCAAAAATATATATCTATAATTTATTAATTTACTATATTTATGAAAATAAAATAAAAATTACATATTTTATTTTATTTAAAAAAATAATTYCATATTAAATATTGAATAATATTATAAAATAGCAAACTTTTAAAAGTAAAAATGTGGTGGAAATGTCCGCTTCTACCAGGGATGGGGGAATTTCTTACTACAACAAAAACAGTCGAGGGAATGTCCATTTACCCATTACAATATATTAAGCTAACTATAATATTAAATAATTTACTATGGGATCATTTCTTTTCATTTTTTAGACACTTAACTATTTCATATGATAACTATTACTATAATATAAATAACAAAATCTATTATTTAAATTATATATACTAAATTATTTAAACATCAAACAGTTGAACACTAATCCACTACATGTTAAAAGATTTTTACTCGAGGTTACATTAAATATATTATATTTAACATTTGTTTATTGGCATTTGATAAAAATATTACGCAAATGAATATAATACGCTTTGCGTTACTCATTATAAGGATGAATGAATWACATAAACATAATATTTAAAATCAAAGAAAAACTTTTATCCAGTGACGTACACAGGATTTTTCAATGGGTGAGGGGGWTTGAAAATAAAAAATTGCTCGGTTGTCTCAAGATAAGGTTTGAAAAATAAATTGAATATTTTCTTAGCCAWAAAGTAGTTATGTATATAGACTATGATTATAATAATTAGGTAAACATTACACGATTTAAGATWCTATATTAAGTCCATGAGTAAATATAACAACAAATAATAATAAATAAATAATTAACATGATCAATGGGGTGAGGGGCTTTAGCCCATTAGTCCAGCTCTTCGTACGTCACTGCTTTTTTTGATGATTTTTCTTTTGGGTTAACGTTTATTCTTTAGTTTTAGCTAAGAAATATATTCTTTAATTATGGACAATAAGTCTTGTACACTTGTAGGTACCTAGTATATTACTGGAATCAAAATGCAGAATTTAAAATTCTAAGAAATCAAAAAATATTTATTTTAATTTTAACTATATATATTTCAATATTTTAAAAGAGTTAAACATTCTGCAGTTTAACAATTTTCTTTAAAATAAAAATAGATWCCTAAGTGTAATGCTGTTATTATATCTGTCTTATTATTTATTTGGGAATTTTAATAATGCTTTCTTTTAAGTTTTATAAATAATTCATTTGATTTTTCATTTATTTTAAATATAATCTATATTATATAATAATACATATATTTATATATATGGTATACAGATATGAAGATCGAAATTATCATAGAAGCATCAAGCAATACATAATGATTTTTGATGCRTTGTTATGAATTATGTAATACACTCTATTTAAATAAACTTAATTATTTATTATTTTTATCATTGATTTGTAGACATATAGCTCACTTCTCGCTGAAGTACCCAACTATTAGTAATATCATTTAGTATGATGTATGATATGTTATGTGAAGTAAATAGTTTGTATTAGGTTTCTTCTATAATAGTTGTTATAAACCATCTAACGGTTGCTTTTTTACTTCCGTGTCATATATGCGAGTACCTACATATAGGTTGAGAATATTATATATATCATATATATACATACTTTCACGCTTGTCGCTTTGTATACTAAAGTAATCATATTACAAAATGTTATAGATATTATGTAGAGGCGTAGAGGGTCTAATATACCTTTTCTTTTCATCAAGAGCCCATAGTTATACGCATATTTTACATTATATGTCGTTATGTTTAATGTTTACAACGAAATTCAAAACAATATAAATTATGATTTAATGTAATAATATGTATTACTGTATACCTATTAGTTCAGTAAATGTGACTCATTTACACACTTTAGTCTCTAAACAAACCGTCAACATCTTGTGTGTACTTTAATTTTTGGAAATGGAGAAGAAATGACCAAGGACGGCCATTGACCTCTATAAAAACCGGTAATAAAAATACAGGACGTCTGGTTGTCATTTTTCATACTCGTACAACACGTATACCTAACTGACCTTATTCATAAGTCAATTTCTTATGGTTAATAAAACAAGAATAATATGCAAATCAATGTACATCGAGGAAAAAATTAATCAACTCTAAAATCCATATTCGATTACCTTTAAAATATAGAAGTTTCTTGGAAGTTTGAGAACAATTAAGAGATTAAACTCGGAAATTAAATTTTTCAGAAGTAATTCAAGATTTCACAACAGTGATTAAAATGAAAAGGGACAGACGATATTTTTAGCATTTAAGATGCTAAGTATATTTTGTATAGATTATAATATAAGGGTCCAAAATATTTCTAAGCCAGAAAACATTATTTATATTCCAAATAAAATCTGAAAATTTTAAAGGAAATATTTACTTCTTAATTTTTTTTCCTGATAAAAAGTATGATGATAATACTATGCATACAAAATACAAATTATATTTAAAATAGTTATAATTATATCATACCAAAATTAATAAATATTTTATAATTTTTTTTTATCTATATTATTATTAATTATTATTAYTCTATCATCTTATTTCGATATTATTTATGTTCAAATAAATTATTATCAGAATTGATTATAACATTTTTCTATATCCTATTATATATAATTARTGTTTGTAAACAACCCCACTGTATGGTATTTGAGTTTTTATTTATTATTTTGGTTATGAACAATAAAACATTAAAAATATTCTCGTTTTAAATTTTAATATGGAAATGTTTAATGAATTCAATTGAAAACAATCCAATATTGTATAATTGTTTGGTACTTTCACAAAGTGAATTCATCCCCTCTTACACGACACGTATTCATTCACACAGCAGGTGTTCCCAGACGCATAGACATATTATAGTGTTTATGTAATTTAAACGTTACAGTTGACGTAGTTAACTTTTTGATGGTTAATTTTATTATTTTATMATAAGTATTTTAATTTAAGATACACTATGATCCACCATTTATTCTAAAAAACAATGAAAAATAATATTAATAATATGCGGACAYAAATACTCTCTCGTCAGACGTGAAATATAGCAAGTAATAATGGGATGTGGGTAGTTCGTGGGTGCAAAACGTCCCACCGGAGCTGAATAGTTTAGTACTTATAGTACAGGCACTTATTGTAGGTTTATTGCAGTGTGATAGTGTATAGTACAGGTACTGTGTTTGAGTCTTCTTTCACAAAACGGATTTCGATCGCCGAGCACTTAAGTCTAAAAGCCAGTGATTCGATTTCGCGTGGTTCGCCAATAATTGCTTTAATAATATTATTAGTCGATGATTAACGGTATAGTGGATTACCACAGTGAATTTCGTGACCTTGCACAGTAGCCCCGTGACGTCACCGCACAGCAGGGAAAACCGCATCCGTGGTTGCCCTATATCCACGTTACTGTACCTATACATACATAATATGCAATTATTATAGATCTAAAAAACCTTGCACCCCGTGTAATATATACACATATTATAATATACTATTTAGTATGATAGGTACCACTTGTAATAACGCAATGATACCACTGCACACACAAGCGCCCGCACGTAAACAAACACGCGTATATTATAAACGCCAAGCTGGCGAGCGCGATCGCACGAAAGCGAAATAAAATGACAAAAAAAAAGACGGACGGCGGCGGCGGCGGCGACGCGTCGCAGACTACGCGCGTGACGCGTATTACGACGTCGAAAATACGCGCGACGGACACACGAGCGTCGACCGCGTGACGGTGTTATCGTATGCGCTACGCTCGCGTCGTCAACCGTCGCTGGCCCGCCCGCCACAAGGCTGCAGGCTGTTGAGCGTTAACTGCAGCGAACGCGCGTACGAGTGGGAAAAACGCGACGGCTCTCGATGTCCGTCGTCGTGGCATCGTCACCAACCGCTCCCCTTCCCTTCCCCTCCACACCTATCTAATAGCTGCGAAATTTTGCGCGGCGTTTCGACTTGTCTGCCCGCCGCCACAGCCGTCCCGACAGTTGTAATTGTGATGATCTTTCGTCGTAGGTACATAACACTATAATAATATGCCACTGCCGTAAATTCACCGACATCAGAACCAAGCTCAACATAGAAGACAATCTGGAAGAAGCCCTAAGTCCCCTGCAGCCAAGCAACACTGGAAAATTAATCAGTTACTTAAAACAAACTAAACTATATCAAATTATTCAACCTAGATATATCTCAATCCATTTTTGTTCATATTATTACCTTTGTTTTGTATATATTATTGTTAATGATTCATTCTTGTGTAAAAAAATATTAATGTTAAAGGCCAATAACCTTTGTTGTTGAGGCTCATTTAAAATTAAAAAAAAAAATATATATATTATGTAAACAATACTAACGTATGTTGATATTATTTACCATCTTAATCCTCCATTATGCGTGCGTGGTACACGACTCTATACCTAACCCAATCGATACGAATGATTTAACTAGGTATGAACTGTTACATATTATCTGCAGTGGCGTATGTTTTACGGTTTTCATTTTCTGGAAGGCGGAATGCGGGTATAAATAATTTAAATACAGATCTCCCTTTGTCCTTGTACTTTAACATTGACCTAAAATTCGCTCATCTGTATAGACGTATTAGTAGAAGTGTAGTTGAGTGTAACTCGTCATTGAAAAATGATTCTGAGCATCGTCTGACGTCTATACCAGTAAATATTACAAAATAATTCACGATGTTGATGGATTTCGTTAAAAATTAAAATTCAAACTCTTGTAAAATAAATTTTTGTGGCTTACGCTAAACTTTTTTTAAAATTATTATGAATAAAACTTGTATTAAATGTTCCAATCTTAGCCCTTAAATACCAATACATATTATTAATGTTGATGTATTTTTAATCCAAGTATAGTATAAAATCTTTTACGAATTTTACAGATTTTGACGATTTAATCAGTTCCATCCTAAGTTCCATTTTATTATTTTATTGGAATTATTCAAAAGTAAATAACCGTAGTTAGTTCAAACTTTCATTAAATTTTCATCAAATATTGATATCAGCATATTTTTATATACATGATATCATTTTCAAAATATATTATTGTCTTTTGATATTTTTTGTTTTTTTTTTTTTTATTGACGCTGATAAAATATTTTCATTCGATCAAAGAGCTTGAAAATTTAATATGCGATTCTTAATATACGTTAATAATTAAAGTTACTTATAAATATAAAGAATACAAAAGCATCGTGCACGATTTTTTTTATGAGCATTTGAAGTTTAAGGTTTGACGAAATTTATGGAGACGTTTATTTAAATAAAAACTGTATTAATTATATAACATACATAATTTATTAATTTTAAATTACCACCATTAATTATTAATTCTATATTTTATATCTTAAGTTAGAAACTTAGAAGGTAGTTTAATACTAATACTGTGACACTACTCTGCACTTAGATAATAGTCAGTGTTAGGTAGACCGTAGACAAAAGAAAGTGTAATAAGTATTTTAGTAGGTATTAATTTACATACGTTATAAAGATAAAACCATTTAAAACACAAAATTCCAAACCCTATTAGTTAAGATTTCAAAAATTATTATAAAAACATTAAACTCACTTATCAAATACAAAATTTATATTTATTAAATAAATTAAAAAGATTGTGCTAAACAAAGGGTTAAAATATTGCCTTTATTGTCACCCTCAGAAATTATACTCCTGCCATAAAGATACCAGATTTTTATGAATTTCAAAAATATACAGTTATCACTTTTAAATTTTAATGAATACAAATTGTTATGATCGTGTCGTTTAACTGCAAAAAATCTCGAATCTGTATTATCCTGACACATCGGATGTTACTATTGTTTTTCAGTTATTGTGGATTAAATAAGATAACAATTAACAATATTATTAAATGCTGTTGTGTAATGTATATTATAATATTGTTTTTATATATTTTAATATGATAGGTTGACTATTCACAGTTATTTTTCGCACAGGACTAAATAAAAATCGTGAAAACTGTTATCGAGAATATTATAAAATAATTAAAATATAGATATTTAAATTATTTTCAAACGGGTTTTGAACTCAAACATGTATACATTTATATTTTGTTTATAGTTTGGTTTTAAGACCTACTTAACACTATAACCTATTATCATTAAAATACGTCAAACAGTTTCATAAGTCTGGCAATTGAAATAAAACTGCGTTTTAAAAAAGGAACAACAATAAGTCACATTACTTGTATTTTTAATAAATTAAATTCTTCATTATAGTTTTGTCAAAGTTAAACAAGGTGTTTTTTTTTTGCTTTCAATATCTACATTATAAAGACTAAATTCAATGAAAAATATTATCTAAACTAAAATAAACTCATTTATATGTGGTGTGATTTACGATATATTATTATAATAAAGTTTGTTTGCATTAAGATAATTTACCTACATAGTTCTACTATTGTCTTAACAATTATCGTGGAATTGCATTATATCATATTGAGCCCATGCAACTAAAATCCAAATTATCTAATAATAATATTTACCGAGTACATTCTTGTCAATTTATCGTCAGTTTAAGTAAGAATGAAAAGATAATCCCTATATTTTACGTTGGTTGATGTATAACAGAAAGATTTGACAAATGAAAAAACTTTCAGACTAAACAATATTTAAAATTTTTTATCATTTATAGATTCTTGCCTTACACGTATAACATTTATTATTTTTAACACTTAAAATAGAAAATTCGTAGTCCGATATATTTTTTTTTTTAACCAGAGTTTAAATGTATTATTTTCAATGGACATTAAAAAATAAAAATAGTTTAAAAAAAGAGTTTATCATAAAACATTTTGTGTTTATAACTAAGGATTAAAAATACAACACTAAGTTTTCCATAAGTTTTCCTTCAAGTAGCTATAGAGAAAACTCGAAGCGTCATTATAGGAAAAATTTTAAGTGCGTTTGAATTTTAAATTTTTACGAAATAGCGTAACGATAACGATTTATCCTGAAACGATTTTAAATATTTGTTATTATTCAATAAGTATAAGTCGTAGATACTTGAAAATTTTACCAGTTATTAAGATTGGCATTTTCTTTACATGATTTAATTTTCAAAATATTTAGACTTTTTTTGAGATATTAATAGACAACTGAAATTTTAAATTTTTCTGAAAATTTTTTTTTGAAATGTCAATAAAATTTTTTTGGCTCTATAAAAATACTTGAAAATTTAATACAAAGTTCTTCATAAGTTATTCTTATTGGGATTAAAAAATTATAAGAATACATAGGCACAATTTCAAAATCAATAAACATTTTTGTGTTTATAACTAAGGATTAAAAATACAACACTAAGTTTTCCATAAGTTTTCCTTCAAGTAGCTACAGAGAAAACTCGAAGTGTCACTATAGGAAAAATGTTTTGAGCGTTTGAGTTTTAAATTTTTATGAAATCGCGTAACGATAACGATTTATTCTCAAACCAGGTATATGTATATCTATGATAATATAGGGTATTATGAACTATGATAACTACATGCAATGTTTTTGGAAAAATTGATTAACCATTCCTTATGCAAAATGCTTCCTATAAAAATAAAATATTAGTTTCAAAATAGAATATATGACAATATTTAAATATAATATATCCTAGACAGAGGTTAAAGTGGGAAAAAACTCCAGAGGGGACTAATGTCTCCATAAAGTTTTAAGCGTTCCATATATAATTTTATGTATAATGTCTAATGTATAAAATCCTAATTTGTTAAAGGGGACGCTTTTTAACCGCTGTCAGAGGTAAGCGGACTGAGTCCTCCTGCGCCCCCCCCCCAACTTTAACCCCTGATCCTAGACTGACAAATCATCTCCGTTCAGAATCGTTTTTCGTATACAATGATACCTATCATTGCATTCAAACCTACCCTAGTCAGAGGCCCCAAGGTCCATCTCACCACCTAATGTATAGCAGAGCGACATCCACTTACCCGATTTTTTTAATTGTAACTATACCTAGCTTGMAGGTATGATGTATACCAACAACATTTAAATTAAAATTGATATTTATTAGTTTTGAACATAAATAATTCATTTTTATAGTATTAAATCTATTAATTTTTAAAAAATAAACATATTTTTGCGTTATTATTTTGACATAATTGTAGCTTCATGCCGATAATTTATAACTATTATATTAAAAAATAAAAACAACAAACTTTAGATTTTAAAATTAAAAATTATGCTTCTAAGCTTATATTTGTTAATAGGTTTATTCGATGATCAGAACAAGTGCAATTCGAAAATTACATTTTTCTCTCCCGTCAGCAATTTTACAACAATATAATTGCAGTTTAACATTACCCGTAGGTTCGTAGGTACTTAAATATTATTAATTATTATATTATGTTAACTGACAAGATTGCAACTTACCTGAAAATTGTCCATTTGATGTTTTCTGTTGATGTTGTGTTCATATTATTTTGGAAGAAAAACAAAATTAAAACGAAACCAGCGGGTAGTAAAAAAATATTATTTAAAATGACAAAAAGTATTCAGATGTCGGAAAATAAAACGGTGTAAAAGTCACGGATACCAATCACCGTTATTGATGTTGTCATGTTGATATACTATAGTCTGTTTATTTTAGATTCCAG